GAGGATAAGCCCAAAGTTATCAAAGCTATATTTCTAAACAAAAGAAGTCAGACAACTTAATGAGGCACCTCAAAATCCCCATTCATTTGTGCTGCATATTATGATGCTTTATTGACTATAAGCTAGAGATGGCATAGGGAAAGCAACCTAACTCATCTCTGAATATTCTAAAATTTGAAATCCCATAATTCAAACTACAAAGACTAATTTTTTGATTGCACTGTGTTGGGAATTTAAGAAATTCTTTCAATTTATGCTTATTTACTATTATTGGTTTTACTCTATATTTTTGTGATTTGTTGGATACCATATTAACAGAAATGTTTGAATGTTGTACTGAACCCCGATAGGCCTAAAGTTTGATGAAGATGTAAGTTACTATATCTTCTTTTTCAGGTTTGACTAATCTTTTCAAACTGTTTCATTTGGTGAATTCCTATTCCTACTTACATCCAAATAAATGGACAACTTTAACTAAAACTCATTTAGATCAATAGGTACGTACTCCATATATCAGATCATGATGCAGATTCTTTTCTAAGGACATTGTAAAACTTTCTCACACAGTGACAAGAATTTGATATATTTTACGTTTTCTTCTTCAAATTGCTGTTTTGAAGTTTGAGAAGTGCATTTTCACATGATTTATTTGTATGGTTGTACTGGGCATTGCCGATTAGGTTTCCAACTTTAGTTCATGTCATCAATTTTTAAAAAGTTTATTTTTTTTCTAATTGCAATGGTTAATAATTACTTTACCATATCTACTTTTGCAGATGAACTTATTTGTCTTTAACATCTCACACCGTCCTACCTACATAATGATGATGTGAATATGAACTGCCAATTGAAGGTCTCAAAGGCATTTTGTCAAAAGACAGGTATGGAATGAGTATTTATTGAGATATCATCTTGGTTATCTATTTTGAATCTGTTCGAGTTTTTTAGCGGGGAAGGCTAGGTATATATAGAAGCTGTTTCCTACTATTTTTTATTCTTGATTGGGAGGTTTTGGTTGATGTTGGGGTGCATCTAGCATAAAGTATGTTCTTTATTTTGTTGGACATAAATCCCTTAAATCCGAGTGTATGAGGAGATTTATTAAAATGCTGATCAAGATAACACTACGAAATAAGTGAGATAACAGACATAAGTGAGATAGCAGGGAGATAGCAGACATTAAATGCAATATATTGATTTTGACATTATGAGGTGGTGTTAGGAGTTACGACATTAAACTAAAACTAAAAGGGCATTAGAAGCAGAGGTACGAACGTTAAAATACATGAAAAGCATGGAGATTAAGCTTGCGAGAGGCCATTAATAAGCTATAGCGTCAAACATTCGTTAAGAAGAAATTGATTTAGTTATTTTAATTTCGATGGTTTAATTTAGCCTGAAGTGCTTTTTAGTAATTTGTTAACAAGTACTACACATTTTGTATTCTTTGAATGAATCTGTACTATCTGATTTGTATGTTAAATCATATTTTTATATTTGATT